TACCTTCATAGGTAAACCCTCTCACTAATGATGTGCAAGAGTTCCAGTTGTTCCACATTTTCACCAACACTCTTGATATTACTATGATTTCTAGGGGTATCTCATGGAGATTTTAATTTACTTTTCCCTGATGATGTTGAGTATCTTTTCATGTGCTAATTTCCCATTGGCATACCTTCTTTTGTGATGTGTCTGCCTAAGGCTTTTGCTCATTTTTAAATTGGGTTTTTTCTTGTTGAGTTGTAAGAGCTCATTACATATTCCAGACCCAAGTCCGTGTGTGTGTGTGTGTGTGTGTGTGTGTGTGTGTGTGTGTGTCTGTGTGTGTGTGGGTACATATTATCTTTTGGGAACAAAAAACAACCAAAATCAAGATTGCATTTAGAGTATCCCATTATTGGAAGTAAATCCTTATAAGATTATTTTTATAAAGCAACCATCTAACCATGAGTTTATTCTATTTTCATGTAATTGGTTTGCTTATAGGAAGGCTTTATAGTTATAAATTGTAGTACCTATAATAGAAAGTATTCATTCTCCAGTACAGTCACCAACAACTCTGTAATCCTTGTAATCAATTAAAAAAACAAAAACCTTTACTTTGTCAAAGGTTCTGAAGTGTTCTTCTTTAAGGCGGTGTGCCTGTGTATGGCGCACTGTACCTAACTAACTAAATTGATATTAACTCAGCATAGAGGACAAATGTTGGCAAATACAATGCAATGCTCTGTGACATTTCGCACACAGCATGTAGAATTGGAATGAAGTTTCTTTGGTTAGATGAAACAGTCATTTAACAAAAGGTAATTAAGTAATTACGTACTTTATTAGAATCATAGAAATTTAGAGCGGAAAGTATAGAGACCATCGTAGTCCAATATTCTCCTTTCACTGTCGTTTCAGTGGAGACAGAATGCTGGGGCTGTTTTAAAACTAGAGCTACATAGAGGAATTGGTCTTTGTTAAACAAGCCGTCTTGTTTTGTTAAACAAGGCATGCATGATGAGTGTACAGCAAATGTGATGGAATAGGATAATTAGGATGATGAGGAACATTCATACCATTCTTTAGGAGCTCTTTCCCCAGGGAATCCTGTATTTTAATATACCGTATCTCCTGGCAAAGAAGGTGCTGTAGTGTATAAATGAAAGGGCTGTCTGGGTGGGGGTTCCAGGCTAGCCCACTTCCAACTGTGGTATTTCCTAATTAGTCTGTAAAATTTTCGGGAAATTTTTACTGCTTTAGTCCAAAGAAATAAGGGAATAAGTTGGAGTCATATCCCTTGGAGGGCCTACAGGGAATGTGAAGTTTGGAGTTAATGCAGACAGTTCTCAGCTTTGGGTGGTTCTACCCCACTGTCTTACATTTGTGGCATTCCATCACTTTCCCAGATATTGCCATTTTGTGCCTTGAAAAAAAGCATGTAGGTTTAAAAAATGAACTTATATCATCCTTCCTTCCTTAGCTAATGGTGTCACTGTCTGGTTTCTCAATGTCCCTCCAACTCCCTTGTACTGAATGTGTGTCCCTTCCAAATCTCATGTTGAAATGTAATTCCCAGTGCTGGAGGTGGGGCCTGCTAGGAGGTACTGGGTCATGGGGCAGATCCCTCATGAATGGTTTCCTTCTGTCCTTATGAGAGTGAGTGGGTTTCTGCAGGATCCCGTTAAGACTGTGGCAGCTACTTCCTCCCACTCCCCACTCACTCCCACTCTGGCCACGTGATGCATGTGCTCCTCCATCTTCCACCATCATTAGAAGCTTCCTGAAGCCCTCACCAGAAACAGATGCCAGAACTGTGCTTCATGTACAGCCTGCAGGACCGTGACCAATTAATCCTCTTTGTACATTACCCAGTGTAAAGTATTCCTTTATAGCAGTGCAAGAACGAACTAACACATTCCTTAAATGAAGGAATATATGAAAAGCTTCTAGCAGTGTGTCAGGCCCAATACATTGTAGTCCCCAACCCTTTATCATGGCATAAAAGGGCCCTTCTGAATTGACTTCTCATTTACAGGACTCTCCCATCCTCCCTTCTTTTCCTCCACCTCTCACTGCCTTCTCCAAAGTGTGTCCCGTGTTCCAGAACACCGGGGTCTTCTCTATTCTGTGCACTACTCAGCTGCTCTATCTTTGTTCATGTCGTTACCATGGCCTAGAAGTCACACCCACACACTGTCGGCCTGCAGAATCCCTACTATTCCTTGAGAATCAAATCAAGTGTCAACTCTCTGAAGCTCTCCGATTCTCCTTTTCTCTACTACCTCTGCCTCAGAAGGAAATTTAGTATTGCTGCCTAATTTTGATTTTGTTCATAGCTCTATCATAATACTGGCCACAATACAGCAGTTATTTGTTTAGGTACTTGCTTCTTTTTTTTTTTTTTGAGACGGAATTTCGCTCTTGTTACCCAGGCTGGAGTGCAATGGTGCAATCTCAGCTCACTGCAACCTCTGCCTCTTGGGTTCAGGCAATTCTCCTGCCTCAGCCTCCTGAGTAGCTGGGATTACAGGCATGTGCCACCATGCCCAGCTTATTTTTTGTATTTTTAGTAGAGACGGGGTTTCACCATGTTGACCAAGGATGGTGTCGATCTCTTGACCTTGTGATCCACCCACCTCGGCCTCCCAAAGTGCTGGGATTACAGGCGTGAGCCACCGCACCCGGTCTCAATGTACTTGCTTCTTATGATAACTAGTGAAGTCTTGGAAGTAGAGACTGTGTGTTCTATAACCAACTTGTAGTCCAGTGCCCAAAATATGGTGAGGGTTTGGTGACTGTTTGCTGGTTGGAACAAAATTGATATGTGCACCACATTTATTTAAAACCACAGCCCCAGGGTCACTGGTCAATTACCTCAGGTAAGACAGCAAGGAGAGATGGTGTACAGTGAAGCTCAGCAAAGCAGGGAAAAGTAGGAAAACTTTCTTAAGTAGCAGTAGACCCAGAGATTAGTTTTTCTCCAGAGGTTTCATTTCATTTCAGTACATTTAAAAAGAGAAGCCATATAAATCAAGCAATCCACCGCTTCGGAAAAGCTGTGTTACCTTCAAGGGGTCTATTCTGAGAAAAATATGCATGTTTGCACAAAAGTTATTTTATTGGTCAGAAAATTATTTTCATAATCTTATCCTACTTAAATATTTTACCATCCTTTAAAATGCCGGAGAGAAAAAACAATACACGATTCTGGTAAGGGCTCCAATTCACTGTAAAAGCAAAATATGGGACTTGAGATGGGTAGAAAGAGAAATGATTTGTGCATTTGGATTTAATTTATTATTTAAAACTTAGAAAAAATTATTTAACACTTCAAACACATAGATACTAGTATGACAGATCCCTCTCCTTCCAACTGCATTAAATCTTCGTTTTCTTTCCTATTTTTTCTTTTTTCTCCTTCCTCCCTCCCTTCCCTCCCTCCCTCCCTCCCTCCCTCCCTCCCTCCCTCCCTCCCTCCTTCCTTCCTTCCTTCCTTCCTTCCTTCCTTCCTTCCTTCCTTCCATCCTTCCTTCCTTCTTTCCTTCCTTCTTTTTTTTTTTTTTGAGACAGGAATCTCACTCTGTTGAGCCCAGGCTGGAGTGGAGTGGCATGATCTCAGCTCACAGCAACCTCCACCTCCCCTCCTGGGTTCAAGCAATTCTCTTGCCTCAGCCTCCTGAGTAGCTGGGAGTATAGGCATGTGTCACCACAATCGGATAATTTTTTTGCATTTTTAGTAGAGATGGGGGTTTCACTATGTTGGCCAGGCTGGTCTTGAACTCCTAACCCCAAGTGATCCACCCTCAGCCTCCCAAAATGGTGGGATTACAGGTGTGAGCCGCCATGTCCGGCCAATTTTCTAAAGTGCATCCCTAGACAGTATTTTTCCTTGTGGATGCATGTATGTAGGACTTTGTTTTCTGACAATGTCTAAACTCCATTCTCCTCTTAACGAGTATATAAAGTTGTTACAGTTTCATAGGTTAAGAGTTACTTTACTTTATTATTAAAATGTATTACATTTTCTTCCATCTCCTATGTTTGGTGTTGAGTAGCCTGCTGGAAATTTTTCTTTCTTTGAAGATACTTTTACCTTTTCTCTGTGTTTGCTTTTAGTTTACCTATTTGTTTTTGGTGTTCTGAAAAAAATTTTTTTTGATGTTTCTATGTGTAGACTCATTTATATTATACATTTCAAGATTCACTGGGCTTCCTGAGCTTGGGTATTCAATGTCTTCTCATTCATCTTAGAAAATTCATAGTCATTAATTCTGCATTGCTTTGCCAAATTGTCTCTACCTACTTTTTGGAACTTCTATTTAACATATATTGGGTTTTCACTTTTCATTCTCCTTTTTTTTTTCATCTCTTTCTTCAGTTTGTGCTGTAGTTTGGACAAATTTCTAAGACTTGTTATCCTTTAGTTCACAAATTCTCTAGCTATATTTAACTTACTATTCATCCTATTTATTGTAATTTAAATTTTAATTACAATGTTTTTAATTCATTTTAATCCATGTAGAAATTCATTTGGTTCTTTCAAAAATATCTTCCTTTTGAGACAGAGTCTCACACTGTCACCCAGGCTGGAGTGCAGTGGTGTACGATCTTGGCTCACTGCAATCTCTGCCTCCTGGGTTCAAGCAATTCTCCTGCCTCAGTCTCCCAAGTAGCTGAGACTACAGGCATGCGCCACCACACCCAGCTAATTTTTTTTTTATTTTTAATAGAGACGAAGTTTCACCACGTTGGCTAGGATGGTCTTGATTTCCTGCTCTCGTGATCTGCCCACCTCAGCCTCCCAAAGTGCTGGGATTACAGGCATGAGCCACCACGCCTGGCCAAATCTTCCTTTTTTTTTTTTTTTTTTGAGGTTTGCAGCTATTTTATTTACAAGTAGACATTTAACACAATGAAATCAACACGGACACACTGAAGCCTGGTTAGTAGTAGTGTAACGATATGCATCATGTTGATGGTTACATTATTTTAAACAAACTACACTGAAAAATTAATGCCAATAAAATCCTTGGTCATAATATTAAGAAATACAATATATAAACTGAAAATATGATTGCTTAAAATTTGAAAATGGAAGTGAACTCATTTGGACAGAGTCAGAGTTAACATAATCGGAAGGGAGGGGAGCTCTGACCCAAATGATATCTTTCAGGTTAACAGAAGAAAAAAGAAGCATAGTTTCTCTTCCAGGATAACGGGCAGTTGGCTTCTTCAGGTAGAAGATACTCCCAGTGTCCTCAGGCCTTGCAGCAGAATCACATCACCGAGCACGAAGACTTGCCTTTTGAAGCTGCTCCATCAATCTTCTCTGCCTCCAAAATTATCCTTCTAAAGACATCAACAGTGGTCTGATTTCCTTTAGCAGAAGATTCCAAAAAAGCTGCATTCCAAGATTCTGCCAAAGCTTTCCCTTCTTCATAACTGATCACCCTTTCCATATGCAGGTCCTTCTTATTCCCAACCAACATAATAGGTATTTGCACTTTCCCCACCATATCCAACAATTTGCCATGGATAACTTTAATCACTTCAAAACTTTTGATTGATGTAACAGGATACACAAGAATATAGCCATTAATATCTATGGAGTATGTCTGAGGAAAGAATATTCATCTTGCCCAGCAGTGTCTACAAGTTGAAGAAGATATTCTTGTCCATTTACTGTGATCAACTTTGTAAAAGTGTTTTCTATGGTTGGATCGTAGGAGTCGACAAATTGGCCTTCAACAAATTGAATTGTCAATGAGGACTTCCCCACAGACCGGTAGCCCAGGATCGTGATCTTCCAGGACTTGGACTGCGGCATCTTGGAGGCCTCCTCAGCCCCGGCCCAACCACGTCAACCGCGGTGGCAGCGCCCAAATCTTCCTTTTTTTAAACAGTATAATTTTATTTATGTTTCAGTTTTTTATTTTATATCTTGAATACATTTAAATATACTTATTTTATGGTTTCTATTAGACTGTTCTAATATCAAATATTCTTGGAGATCTTATGCTGACTCTTAATTTAGGGTGGATTGTTTCTCATCTGTTTTGTAATTTTTGACTGTTATCTAATTTTTAGGAGAATTTATTTGTGGGAACCCTGTGCAGCCTAGGTTGAGGGTGTGGTCTTCTGCAGTAGGTTTTGGTTTGCCTTGGCCACATGTTATAAGAATATCAGAGCTTGAACCAATGTATGTATTAATTATTTGGTTTGCTTGTGTGGAGTGAGGAGGTGGATTCCCATAGTTAAATTTTTAGGGAGACTTTTTCCCATAGAGCTAGGACTAGTCAGACGAGTTTTCTTATTAACTCCTAGGGCTGGAAGGTGAATTGTTTCCTAAACTATTATTTCACTAATGGAGCAGCCCTTATAGGATACTGGTTTTATGAAGGAGGTTCTCAGTTCCAAACTCTGTTTTGGGCAAGCTTAAGACATAAGTGCTATTTTCGAGATGGGCATTAAAGCTCTCTGGATTACGAAGAATGAGACAGCCTGCTGCTCTGACATTGTCCGTTCACAAGCTTGCTTCTCTGTTTTTCAGTTTTCCTTTTTCATTTCTATCAGCTGGGATGTTCCCTTCGTTTCCCTTAGCTATGATTTATAAGAGTATTTGTTATATTTTATCTATCATTTTAATGTGCTTATAGCTGAAAGTTTGTCAGATATTTATAGTTTTCCTTTTAGCTGGAACCAGAACTCTCTCAAATTTGTTTTCAAGACCTTTAACTTTTGCTTTTATTTAAAATAAAGCTTTGAGGTGTTTTTTTCCCTTTGGGAAGAAAAAACATAATGAAAGAGCAAAGCACAAAAATCGGAATGAAAATTAAATCACTATGTGTATTTAAAAGACATAGCATCCTTGCCTGCTTTTTGTATTTGTCACCTTGCTCTTCTAAATGTTAAGAAGATGTCATAATGTGATTGAAAGAAATAGATTTTGCTTTCTGGTTTGAATCTTTACCCTCTCTCTTATTCTCTATTTAACTCTGGATATGTAATTTATCCTCTGACATCCTTAGGTTTCACCTGTAAATAGGAAAAAGGATACTTGTTTAATTACTTCTTAGCGTAGTTAAGAAGTTCAAATGAAATAACATATAGTGGGTGACAGCTTTCTGTAGACTGTAAAACATGATGCAAATAATAGTTAGTGCTAGGTACTTTCAAGTAGTAATGGGGTTGGTAAATTTCACTTGTTTTTATTCCCTGCAATTGAATGTTCCTGAGAATTGTGGGTCTGGCCCACTCACATGCTTATATTTGAATCTCAGGACTCTTTTTCCTGTAAAAGAGAGAGGTGAATTAACCCTTCATAGAATACTAGAACTATAATTAATTAAGTGGAAAAATCTTATTCCTTATATCCATAAAAGATAAATTCCATTGAATTAAAGAAAAAAATGCCCCTTCTTTTTCTCACTCAAGAGCAAGGACTTCTGTGATTTGGGTTTTGTGCCACAATTCTTACCATTTGTCTCTTTACTAAGTGGTTTTACATTCTGAGCAAGATACATGCCAAGGGAGTTGGAAATCTTGCCCACTGCTGTGTACACCAGGAAAATAGTACTAAACAGTACTAGTATTTTTTAGAAGTTATAATAAAATAGTCATAACATAAAATATACCATCTTAACATTTTAAAAGAGTTTTTTTACAGCTTTATGTAGCCTTGTGGAAACAAGGCCTCAAAAAATTTGTTTAAGACTCAGAGTTGTTCCTCTCCATGGAAATCTTTAGTAAAAGGCGAAAGATTTACACCATCTGAAGAGCAGCCAGAGTGTCCACCTTAACAATGTTTAAGTGTTCAGTTCAGTAGTGTTAAGTACATTCACATTATTGTGCAGTCAGTCTTCAGAACGCTTTTCATCTTGCAAAACTAGAACTGCTTTCCACTGCAGCTTAACCATTTCACAACTCTCCATTTTTCTTTACCCACAGCCCTGGCAGCCAATCTCCATTCTACTTTGTGTCTCCATGAATTTCACTACTCCAAACACCTAATGTAAGTGGAATCATACAGTATTTATCTTTTTGCGACTGGCTTATTTTCCTTAGCATAATGTCCTTGAGGTTCATTCATGTTGTAGTATGTGTCCGAATTTCTTTCCTTTTTAAGGCTGAATAATATTCCATTGTAGAGAGACTCTTGTATTACTTCTACCTTTTGGCTGTTGTGAAGAATGCTGCTATTGAGCATTGGTGTGCAAATATCTGTTCAAGTTCCTGCTTTCAGTTACTTTGGGTATATGCCCAGAAGTAGAATTGCTGAATCTTGGGTAATTCTGTTTTTAATTTTTTGAGAAATCATCATATTGTTTTCCATAGTGGCTGCATCATTTTATATTCCCACCAACAATGTACAAGGTCCCACTTTTCCCACATCCTTGATAACCTTGTTATTTTCTTTTTCTTTTGTTCTGCTTTTAAAAAAATAGTAGCTATCCTAATGGGTATGAATTTGGATTTGCATTTCCCTAACAGTTAGTGATGTCCAGCGTCTTTTAATGTACGTTTCTGCCAGTTTGTGTATCTTCTCTGGAAAAATGACTACTCCAGTCCATTACCCACTGTTTAATCAGGTTGTTGATTTTGTGTTGTTGTTGAGTTGAAGAAGCCCTTTATAGATTCTGGATATTAACCTCTTATCGTATATATGATTTGCAAATCTGTTTTCTCATTCTGCAGGTTCTCTTTTCACTGTCGATTGCGTCCTTTGATGCACAAAAGTTTTTAAGTCGAACACCACTTGTCTATTTTTGCTTACATTGCCTATAATTTTGGTGTCACATCTAGGAAACCATTGGCAAAAGCAGTATTTTTGAGTAGTTTCACAATGGAATCCCAGATGAGGAAGAGAACAATCAGTATTGTCTGGAATTATAACTGTTTAAGGATCTATCTAGAACTCAAATTGGCTTGGTGGCAAAACAGCAAAGAAGTTGTTCACTCTTTTAGGCAACTCAGTACTTCCACCCCCGCTGAGCATTTCCGTATCTTATGAATATTTTGGTATGTGGAGTCTGTTCCCCATTCTAAATGATTAGGCCAGACGCTCCATTTCTCAAATTCCCTTTCACTGGGGTGTGAGCATATGACCTTGGCCCTACCAATCACATGCACCTGTACCAGAGGTCCTTGCAGTCCCAATGATGGTACAAAACCTGAGTTCCTGGGCACTAGCAGAGGTGATGGTAGTGCTTTGTGTCTACACCTGCTGTGTGTGGCAGTGGTTGCTGGTTGTCTATTCTTTCCTTCATCCATAGTAATGAAACCTCTTTTTCTTAACTGAGCATGGGCCATTCAGGATAAAGTCTATATTATCCAGTCTCCTTGGGGGCTAGGTTTGGCTAGTTCTGGCTAATAAGCTGTAACTACAAGTATTGCCTGACCTCTTCTGGGATCTTCCTTTAAAGGACAGCTGGAGTTTCATCTGTTCCTCTTCTGGCTCGATTGTGGATCAGGATGGTTGAAGCTGGATTAGCTACCACGAATGATAACTACAGTAGTGGAGGCCCTGCATGGGAGAGCAACAAAACAGAAGGGGCCTGCATCTCTGGGGCCTCCAAGCAACAGAGTTTACCTATCAGCCCTGGACCTCCAGCCTTTTATATGAGAGAGGGAAGTATATATCTATCTTATTTAAGGTCAGGTAATTTGGGGTCTCTGTTACTTGCTGCTGAAGTTAATCTTAATCAATGCATTGTCAGTGGTGCAAGCTGCAATGTGAAGGTGTGCAGGCTGCAGGGGGCTGGCTGGAGGTGTGATTCGAGGCTTCATTCCTGATTCATTGCCCTGGACTCTTTTTTTTTCAACCTTACTTGTGATTCTATGACATACGTATCATTTTAATTCTCTTTAAATCAGTTGGAGTTGTTTTTGATTATAAAAAAAGTTCTTACTGATATGAGGTGAAGATTTCTTAAAACTCTTTTGCAGATTAAAAAAATGAAGTTTGTTTTTCACCACAAATTTTAGCCTCAAAGCTCATCCACATTTTCAGAAAATTCAAGGTGAAAGTTCACACACAGCATCCGTTAGAAGTTAGTTGTGAAAAAGGGATCATCAGCGGTCATCGTTTAACTGATGAGACCTCCCATATGTTTTGAATGATTTAATTTCCAACACATTCTCTTCTGAGTCTTTGATATGTGTGTTAACTCCATGAAATAAAATCTGAGTGTGCAGGGAAGAGGGATTTCAGTGCTTACTCTATCTCAGCACCTTGCTAAGTGGTCCTCAGCCCAGGCATTACTGAGCTGGGGCTGGATTTCTTCCTCTTTAGAATAATAGAAGAACATATTTACCAGTGTCTCAGTTATTGGTTACAGACAGGAAAGTTTCAAGCGTCGGGTGCTGACGAGTGAGAATGGCCAACAAACAACAGAAAAGAAGTTAATTGTGCCTCAAATAAGAGATTTCTTTTGAGTCTTAAAATCCTGTCAGGATCTCATTCAGATGTCTGAGGGACATTTCTGCTCTCTCATCATCTCGGTGTTGAACACCAGTTTGAGCTGTTAGTGTCCGCATTCATTCAGCCATGCCTCTGGCAAACGCTTTTTAGCTACCTACTCAGTGCCAGGCATTACTTGACTCCTGCTTCCTCCCTGCCCCTTGTCTCAATATCCATCCCACATTCTGAATGGATTCAATGGATTAAGCTGAAGAGTCTGAGGGAAGCAACGTGATGCATTTATGCATCATCTATCGAGTGTGATGGGTGCGTGCTGGGACGCAGCACGTGAGAACACAGGCTGCCTCCCTTCCTCAGCTGTGCAGGACTGCACTCTGTCAAAATGCGTGTCCAGGAAGGCCTAAGTCCCTAAAGTGTGGTGGTTATTAAGAAAAACTTCGCCTTTTATATCC